GGGAAAGAAAAGAAGAGAAGTTAATTAGTACTGCCTGGCTAAATCAATCATACATGCCTCAACTTACCTTTAGTAACGTGAACTTTGGACCGGTGAAGCGACTGACTCGCCGTTTTCCGGCCCAACAATATATATATTTTCTATATTATAGAAACTGTTAAATTTTTTTTTTGCTCTTATATATATTTGTTTTTTGAAATTCAAATATAAAACCAAAGTAATCAGAATATTTTATTTTAAATTTATATAATTATTTTTCAAAAAGTTAATTAGATAAATATTGATATTTATAATTATTTTATTTAATTATAATTATAATTATAATTATAATTTTTATTGTTTTTCAATTTTTTGAATTGGAATATTGATAAGAATTTTTTTTAATTATAAATATACTTTCTTTATAAAATTTGAAATAAAAAACAATTTTTAGAATTAGATTATAATAAAGTAAATATATTTCTATAGATTTTTAATAATATAATGAAAACAAAAAATTTTAAAAATATATTAAAGAATTTTGAATTGATATTGTATAATTGGAATTGATGTATTTTAAGAAAAATAAGAATATTGGATATGGATTTGGTTTAAATGTTATTATTATTTGTTAAAAAAATTTTTTTAGAAAATAAATAATTTTATTTGTTTGTTTGAAATATTATTTTATCAAGAAAATATAATTATTAATTGAATTAGTAAATGTATATTAAACTGGAAATATACAATATTTATTATATTAATTTGTAAAAAACAAAAATTTATTTATTGTACTTTTTGAATTGTAAAAACAGATTGATAGAAAAGATATATTCAAATTTTAAACAAACTTCAAATAGATTATAATGAATCTAAAATCTTGAAATTGATATTTAATCAAATAAGAAATATTCTGAAATTATAATAAACAAAAATACAATAAAGCACAAAAAAATATTAAAAATTTAAAATATTAATGAAAGCTCAAAATCTAGTTAATTCTAACTTTTTTAAATATTTTTCTTATGATATTTCATTAATAAATAAATCTTTTTCATTATATAGAAAGAAAGATCAATTTATTGGAAAGATAATAGCCTTGGAATAAAAGTGATAAATAATTTCTTCTACAATTTTTTATATATAAGGTTTATGGAAAATATGTAATTTAGAAAGTTGATATTTGCAGAAAAAATATCTTTATATATCATTATTGTTGTAAATTATATATATAATAAATTGTAAAATATTTAATCAATAATTAATATTACAATTTGAGAAGTGCCTGAAAAAAGAAATTATATTAAAATTGCATTTTATGATATTAACAATATTTGAAATTGTAGCATTTAATTTTATAATAAACATTTTTGTAAAAAATTTTTTTATTTCAAGTCTCAAGAATCATCATGTTTTGAACTGCTTAAAGTAATGTCTGTATCAATCATTATATATATATAGATAAGGTTTTATAAATTTGACATTATAATGTTAATATACAGTATATTTATGTTATATTATTTCAATAGATCTTTTACTCAAAATAAAAATAAAAGATTACATAAATAAATCTTAAATAAAAATAAAAATCATACTGTTATGAAATAGTGAAGTTTGAAGGTAATCCAAAGTTTAAAATATATAGTTTATTGTTTGTTGGATTGATCATTCAAATGTATTTCAATAAGACGTTAGAGTACAAAAGGTGTTGTTGACAAAATAAAAAATGTATACTCGAGTGGTCCTTTAATTATTCGATCAAAGAGTTTTCTAACAAACACAAATTTATATAAAAAAAATAATTGCTAGGTTATAATTTTTTAATCAATTGCTCTACAACATACACAACTCCTTAGAATTTTTTACCTGAAAAGTCTGATGAGGCAATTTATTAATTATTTATCTGGAATTCTTCGAGTTCCCTTAATACTTGGTTAATGATATATTCGCGTTTACGTTCGTATTCTTCCTTTTCTACTTCTTGATTGTCATCGAACCATGTAATAGTTTCCTTTTTTATTATACAGTAATACGCACTATAATATTAATATATTAATATAAATTACACCAAAGCTTTAAAAAGTTACCTGGAGAACATTTTGTAAATTGCCTAAATATCTTTCGAAACTATTACGTTCTTGTTCTTTTTGTTTAACCTTTTTATCTTCAGCGCGGTATTTTTTAGCATCTTCGACTGTATTAATTAGATAATATAAGAATTCATGCCTAACGATAAAGTAACAAAATATTAATTAAGTTACATACTCATTTGTTCGATTTCTTTATTTGATAATCTTTTATCATTGGTAACGACAAATTTATTATGTTTTCCAGAGGTTACATCCTGAGCTAATACCTGGTAAATATATATATAATAATATAATATGAGGTTATGTTAATATGATATGATTTACCGATAGTAACATTACAGTAATAAAATAAATACTATAACGCACTTCAAAGGTGTCGTTGGAATCAATGTCGAAAGTAACTTCGATTTGAGATACGCCTTTAGGCGCGCGTGAGATGCCAGTAAATCGAAACTCTCCAAGTAAATTATTGTTCATAGTTCGTACCCTTTCACCCTCGTACACCTTGATTATAAAATCGGTTTGATTATCTAAATCTGTAGCAAACAATTCGGATTTCTTTATGGGTAATGTCCAATCACGTTTTATAATTCGATTCATTATTCCGCCAGCTGTCTCAATGCCAAGTGATTGAGAAATAACATCAAGAAATAATAAATCTTTTAATTTTTCTGATTGACTTCCAGATAAAATGGCTGCATACACAGCTGCACCGTAGGCAATGACTTCATCGGGATTAAGTGACATATTTAATTCTTTCCCATTAAAAAAATTAGAAATTATTTTCCGGATCTCTGGAATGCGCGTGGAGCCACCAACTAATATTACTTCATGAATCTGTGATTTATCAATTCTTGCATTTCTGAGCACTGTCTCAATAGGTTCTATAATGCTTTGAAACAATTCTTGATTTAAATTTAGGAATGTATCTCTAGTTAATGAAGTATAGAAATCAACCCCTTCAAAAATGTTGTCAATCTCAATAAAAGCTTGTTTGGATGACGACAGTGTACACTTAGCACGTTCACATGCAGTTTGAAGACGACATAGTGCACGCTTGTTTGTAGTGAGATCCTTTTTAAATTTACGTTTAAATTCCTGAACAAAATGATTTACAAGGCGTTTATTGAAATCTTGACCGCCTAAATGGGCATCTCCGGCGGTTGCTTTTACTTCCAATATTCCATCCTCAACAGTTATTAGAGATATATCAAGAGATCCACCGCCAAAATCAAAAATAACTATGTCACGTTCTCCGGAAACTCTCTTATCTACGCTGTGAGTAATTGTAGCTGCTAATGGTCCGCTAATTAATCTCAGAGCGTTTAATCCAGCAATTTTAGCGGCATCTCTTATAATTTGACGTTGTGAGAAATTATAATTGGAATCCACGCTGATTACTGCAGCCGTGACTCGTTCCTTAAGAAAAATTTCGGCTGAATTTTTCAATTTGCATAACAACATTGATAAAATCTCTACTGGTGAAAACTGTTTGGGTTTGCCCTTGTATGTAACTTGAATATAGGGTCTCCCATTCTTATCTATAACTTTGAATGGCCAATGCTATTTGTAATAAAATGTTATACTATAAATAACGTTTCGCAAAAAGATATATTTATATAAACTTTATATTTCTTTTAAAAAAATAAAACGTGCTCACCTTCATGTTTGACTGTACTACTGGATCATCAAACTGACGACCAATTAGACGTTTTGCATCGTATATTGTATTGTAAGGGTTCATTGAAATTTGATTCTTGGCATTATCACCAATTACTCGCCCTGCGTAGGAAAAAGCAACGTACGAAGGTGTAAAGAGACTACCGTGATCATTAGGAATAATTTCAACTTTATTGTCTTTCCATATTCCAACACATGAATAGGTGGTTCCCAAGTCAATGCCAACTAAATTTTAAAAAACAATTTAAAGTAATATTCACAGTAACAAAGAATAAATATATAAACATACTAGCATTTTCCCTCATATTTACAGTATATTGAGTAATAAAATTCGTAAAGAAAAATTTTTGTAAAAGAAAAGTAATAAATTGTTTTAATAGGAAGAAAATACGTGTATATATACAATACGATATTACGTTATTTTTTGCACGCCTTTAAAATTCATTGTTTCCTTCTAAGTATAAATAATTTAAAGCTTATAGGTGTTATATCAAAAACTCACGTTCAATGTCCTTTTGTTTCTTCTTGTTATCATAATAGTTGCTGAAATAAGCTCTATACATACTAACATAAAGATATACTCATTCTCTGTTTAATGATGCATACCATTTCTATTGTTGCTATAATTGGCTTAATTAGTTTTTGTGAACTTTTAAATACAGTATACAGTACGTATATGATAAGCTGTTGATCATTACTGTATACAGTAACAGTATAAGATCTCTTAAAATTTAGTCAGGGTGATAAACAAATACGTAAACGATAAATGCAATGTTTTTAATTTTTAATACTTGTTAAATTTTCGATACTTTTAACTGCATTTATATTTATAATATTATAAATTCCAAAGACTAAGTTTTCAAATGCGCTGTGTGATTATTTGCGTGGATGACCGAGGAAAATTGAAACGCAGAAGATATTACGAATGCACAGCACACTGTAGAAAGGCAAGAAAACGATTAAATGGTACAGGTGACGTCGCGATCCAATTATACCATAATTGAGCCGATGAGGGAATTGGATACTGTACTGTAATTAGAAAAGGATTTAGGAATACAATATAATAAATACAGTGTATATGACATTTAAAGAAGGAAAAAATGATAACAATAAAATAAATACAGCTCTCAGTTCAAACACGAAATCTTCATACACACATTTACTTACCTATAAATGCCTTTTTCGATCGGCGATATAGCAACAGACAATATTATCAGCCAGAATTAGTGAATTAATATATAAAATTTCGTAATTATAAAATTTAATATTTAGAATTCTTAAATATTTATTATTACAAATTAATAATCATTGACAATCAGAAAGTCAAAATACGTATTTTTGGATGCACACCAAAATTTATTGTTGTACATAATTTTCAAATATCAATATTATAAAAAGAACAAATCATCGAACACCATTTATGAACTTGGTACGGTTTTTCTGGGATATATCGAGTGGAAACCTCGTGCAATATACTGTATATAATTAAAGGAAATAGAGAAACATTGGTTGATTGCTCACATATAAATCATATGTAAATATTCATTATAGCATCTGTTATATTTAATAATTGCAGTATCATTTGTTTCAGACTACAGTAAATCCCTTTTATATTTCCTCGACGAAAGCTACATTACATACCGTTGTGGAATGGGTCGATGTAATCGTATTTGTTGAGAGCATCCAGAGGAACATCAGACAGTTGAAGTTATTTTACTGTAAATTAGTTGATGGGATTAATTTTACCATTTTACGGAAAGCCGATCTTAGGTGATCTCGTTAATCCGTTGAGTAAGTAAATTTTAGTTGATATGTGTGGTGCAAATTAATTATATCAAAATATTTATTTATCCAAGTTCTATTCTTTAACAACGATTAATCTATTTTCATTAAACTTTATCGAATGAATTCTTATTGAAATTGCTTTAACTGACCTGGTTTATATTCTTGGAAACATATTAGTGTTGAATAAATCATATTAAAACTGAATTTATAAAGATAAATTTATTATAACCATTTTTCATAAGCTGTCAAAAAACATCACGTATGTATCTATCACATTTATTTTCTTATTACAGACGATACGATATAGTCGAATGCTACACCGAGACAATAAAGAAAAACCCGGTTCTCAATTTGAGTATCTGGAATACGAGAGGTGGCCCACGATTGTAATTATCGTCACTTATGCTCTTTTTTGTTACATTATGTATTATACTATTTGCTTAAAATAATGCCCCCTTTTTTTATAATCGGTGATGATTGTCTCATTCGATAATAATAATTATCTTGAATCGTATTTTTTTTCACAACACCGTCTATTCTTTCAAAACTTAGTACAATGGCTTTCCGAAAACAGAGAGTATATCTCCTTTCAAACTGAAGGAAAGGTACGAGAAACTATATTAATTCAATGTAAATTTGCACGGCTGCATTTTTTTCTTGCATAAATACCTATTATCAAAAATGGTTAAGTAGTTTAGTGAATAACCGTTTTTTATCGATATCATATTAAGGATTGAAAATTAAAAACATTTAAAAGCGATCTAAGTGGTAACTATTTTATCATACACGTCATAAACTGAAATTATTTACGATTAGATAACAAACCACCTATACCTGACTTTAACCAATAATTACCTTGAAAATTTTACAAATACCCTGACTGTCACTAAACCAAGGTCTTCAGAAAACATGACACTCTTAGTTCCATGGGGTGACGTTCTAGTTTATTTCAGCAATTTCTAATTTGTAATTCCGGAAATTGTCGTTGAACAGCGTGTACGTATTACCAAAGTTAATGTTAGTACACTGGTAATAATAAAAAGAAGTAGAATGGTAATTGTAAAAGAACTTTTTGATACAACTGTTATTTTATTAAATTTTTTATTATGGCTAACCCTAAATTAATAAAAAAAAAATTTTTTTTTCTTATAAGGTCAATTTTTTGTAATTTAAATACAGTAAATAGATATTTTAGATTCTGCAATTTAATAAAAGAAACTTTTTTGGAATAATCTACGAGATTTTATACAAAAAAAAATAACAATGAATTATTTTATTGTTTTGCAAATAAATATATAAAATAGAAACAATCATGTTAATAACAATCTTATTCTTTTTTTTTTAATTAATACAACGTTTTCGTTTTGAATCATTTATCATTTAAAATAAACTATTTGAACAATAAATACTTGGTACACAATGACAAATATAACAAATCTATATATGTTAATCTATTAATTCACTAATTGATTGATTTTATATAATGCCATATATAAAATATAAACAGAAAATAGAATTTACTTTTAATTTATAATTTTTAGTGATTACAAATTATTTAAATAAAAATTATAAAAAAAGTTATTATAATTTTATTAATTACTATTAAATGAATTTATTTTGGTTTCATAAAATATTTTATTTTGCTTTTTACAAAATAAAAAAATTGTAAATTATTTTTTAAAAAAAAACATAATTAATATGTTTAAATAATAATATATTTTATTATTAATAAATAATATTTATTTTATATATAATTTATTTATAAATATATTCATATTATAGTTTAATATTAACTTATTAATTTATAGTTAATGTTTTAAAATCAAAAAAAAAAGTATAAATAAAAAAAACCATTAAAAAATATAATAAATAAATAGTTTTTTTTTTGAAATTTAAAAAATGAATCAAACCATTTTAATTATAAATTTTGATTTAAAAATTAAGATAGAAAAATATTTAATTTAATTGCTAACAAATTTAATAATATTTATTATTAATCAATAAATATATATATATTATATATATTGTTTAAATAAGATTTTTTTAATATTTTTATCAGATAAATAAATATTTGATATTATATGGAATAGTGTTTCTAATAATATTATTTCATTATCAAATCAATATCAAATTATTTATAAATTAATACTATTTTATTATTATTATAAAATATATTTATTTTTAAAATATATATCAGTTGTTTTTTATTTAATAAATACTGTATAATTTTTTTAAAAAATATTAAATTAAAAAAGAAACTATTTGTATTATTTAAAGGACAAGTCAAAATAAAATTAAATAAAAAATTATTATTTAGATAAACAAATAAAATTTAAATTATAAAATTTGTTTTATAATATTAATATTATATATCATTATATATTTTTCTATTTTAGGAAAATAATATTAATAAAGAATCCATAGTATAGAAATATTAAGTTGAAATATTTAATATAAGATATTAAAATTTTAAAAAATATATAGAATTAATATAATTCTAAAATTATTAGAGTCAAGTAAAAGAGATATTATATTTAAAAAAAATCAAATTGGTTTCAAATATAAATAATCAGTTTATAAATTATAAAATCAAAACTGATTTAGTGGTAAATAGGTTTTTAAAGAATTTTAAGAAATTTATATTGTTATTACATTATTATTATATAAATTTTATATTAACTAAAAAATGATTTCTCTTATTATTTAACAGTTTTACATATTTTTGAATTTTTTAATATTTGAATAGCCATAATAACATCATATCACAAAAATTTTTAATCTAATTTTTAATAAATCAAACAAATTTTACAAGTAAAATATAAAATTTTAAATTAAAACTTTATAATTGATATTCGTATTGTAATAATTAAAAAAAATTTATATGGTTTTGATTAAACATCGACGAACCATTTATTTTTCTAGACAAAAACTTATATCGTACCAAAGTAGGTACATATATACAGTATACTAAAGACGTATAATTTGACTTTAGTTAATTTTCAATAATATCCGAACATTTTCCTTTTGACTTTGCTAGCCACGCGCCCTGCAATATTAGAAAATATAAGTAAAATTATCCCAAGAAAAAAAAAGAGAGAGAGATTCTAATTCACGTGCCAATATACTGTATGCGTATTTTTCAGCAGGTATTTAATATACTGTACGTAGCTCGAATAACATGAACAATAATGTCAGCTACGTATGTTCCTTCCCCCTGCGATTTAGCTAATTTAGGACTAAAAGCTGGATTTTTCCAGATCTCCCCTAATTATATTGGAATATTTATACGGTATAATCTTATGAATCAAATAATATACAGTAAGTGTGTGCTTACAAAATATTCCGCAATATCTTTTAGAACCTTTTCTCCCTTCAATTTTTATGCAAGAGTTTTTGTGATGGAGTTATCGTAATAGTTATTAAAAATTTGTCACCTATTGTTTTGATCGAGTTAGGAAGAAACACTTTACATACAATATTTTTCAATCGCTCCTGGTAGTATCATTTCAAATATTATTATTTTTTTGCACTATTAATTGGAATACGACGGAGAGGGATTTTCTTGTGATTTTTCAGGTGAGACGTGTATTGATTTGACCGCAGAAACTTAACTTTATTTTATTAGATTGATCTTCATTTTATACAATTATTTAACAAATTAAAAAAATAGATCGCACCATTACATAATGGATAGTCCATATTACATAATTCATTATAGATTTTTTGTACTCACCTACTACAGTATTATTACGATATGCTCTGTCCAAATTAGATTTCGCGATTGTTCCGCGAAGACCGATACTTCTTCAGGTAATTGCTTAACCATATCTACTATTAAGAACTTGACTTGAGCAAATCACACCATAAAAATTCCGAGGATCTAATCTTACCTGTACTTTCTTTCAAGATTCCATTTCAATATTCGCAAATTATTTTCGATAGTATCAATTGATAATTATTCTTCCCGTCAACCAACCTCAAAATTACATCCCTTCATAAGCGTCATCGAACTAGCACATGATACAAAATGTTAGATCTACATCTGGCTTTAAGGAACCCTAGGTCTAAGATCTTCATTTGGTTACTCTTTATCCAAATAATGCAAAAAGAAGTATACATGGAAAACACTATATTCTCTAGAAGAAAGAAACTCTGCAAAGGAGTTCTAATACGATTAGTCCCCTGTTGTGGCATTTTATGAGGTCTAATGATGAAAGATAACCGTATTGCTTTATATTTTAACCCCCTTTTCAAACTAACTGTCATCAGTATGCTGATGACATTTGGCAACATGCTTCACATCATAACCAGGGCGTAATAATATATTTAATTTGTCCGAAGGACATCTTCGCGATTAGACACAGTTTGATGCAAGGTATGTAATGGACCGATAATATGCTTTATCACTTCGAAAATTACAACAGTTCTCGTTACCTAGTAATAATATATTTGAAACCGATGAAGGTGCTGTGCACACAGTACAGTATATTCAAATTGTAACAGGGAGAATGAAATGCGAAATTTATCACGTGATTGATCTCCGCGTAAGGTACAGGTTTGCGGTTGGCTGCATGCAATTAGATAATTAAGGGGAAGGGGAAAAGAGAATTTTGAAAGAGAATTATGTGATATAGTTTAGTCTCGCCATTATTCTCCATTCGTTTTTTAGCATTTGCCGATGTAAAAGAATAAAATGTAAAAAAAAAATCACATTACTGAACTTACGAGTTATAGCGATGCACAGCAAGTGGTTTATAAAAGAACCTTTCTACTTTTTAACGATGGATTGCTGATCAACCGTTACATTATGCATGCAGATTGAACGATCTAACGTATCGTAAAAAATTTGATTTACCCACACATAAACACCGTAATAAGATGACTTACAAATCAAAATTATTATTCTGATGTAAAACATTTATTGTAAGCCATAAATTATATGCATAAAATGTGATCGATCTTTTTTGGAGTGGAATGCAATGAACCGATTTTCCGTGATTAACTGCAAGTTAAAGAAATATAGAGTAATGCAAGATCATGCACATTTTCTAGCCTAATTGCTGTAATTAATTACAGTAGTTTTGTTAGAATGTGAAACTTTTGATGGAGATTGTCGCTAATTTATACTATTTCTAAACGTCAGTAACTCTAATGTTGCCGATTTTGAAAAGGCCCATAAAATTTCTCAAAATTTATTATTAAGATATTTTATTTATAATATTAAGATTTTCCAATATCTTGCATTAGTTAATAGCTTCGCGATTCACATTAAAAAAAATCGAACCAGTCGCCTTTTTGAGTCTTTCAATAATTAAAATTTATGTTTAAAACTGATTTTATTGATTAATATCCAAAAATCTATAAAAGGAAATATAGCTGGTGGAAAATCCAGATACTTTCATTCATAAAAAAAAACATGAAAGTAATTATGACTCGAAATTTTATTTTCGCATACATTCTATTGACTATGCTTACCATTATCAATGCGAATTCGTTTCGTAAAAGAGCGACTTTATTTGGTCCATGTCCTAACATAAACGATACGTTTTCTGTAAAAATGGACCCCGATCCACTTTTTTCTCCACATCTCGTAACTTTTACCCTTAGCGGAGAAGAGACATCTGGTCGAAATATCGACCCACTTTCCTCAGTTGTTGTTACAATAGGTGCAGAATTTCCAGTACAGCCTCCCAGTACATTTCTTGCTTGTAATTCAACTGATTGTCCGCTTTTTTCTGGAGACCCGTATACTACGTCAGGCACATTTCTACTAAACGCTTCTTTACCTCCATCATATCAAATTATATTTACTATTGGAAATATAAATAGTAGTTCACCACAAATAGAATTTCAACATGATATAACCCTCGCTTGTGCAATGGCTACTGTCACGAGTTCCTAAATTTAATTTATTTATAAACTATGTTTTAAAGTTATTTTTTTCCTAATTATAAAATTGTGTTAACTTTAAATTAACTAATATAAAGAGGATACAGCCACAATCTATATATGTACACCTATGTTTAAAACAATCTAGTATTGGATTTATGAAAAATACTCCTACATAAAAACGTACCTCTTTGTTGGCTCATTTTTTTATCTTTTTACTGTAGATGACTATATAATTGTGTAGTTTTCTGGGAATTTAGGCAGGAATAAATAACATTAAAATCGATGTTTCAGAAGTTCTGTGCAATTATCGTAGAAAATAATTAGATATTCTAAATTATGACATGAATTTGCGGTCGCGGTTGACTATCAAAATACAGTACTGTATTGCACAAAGCTGATATATTGAAATACTTCGAATTTCGATATGATTCTATTACTAGCTTTAGAGCTGTACCAGTATCATCTATACGTTCTTCGAAATCTATATAAATTATTTTTAAGAAAATGCGAAAATGTCTCTTTCGTTTTATTTGAAAGTGAATGATAGTGTGACATCTTAAGATGATTTATTTCGAACAATAAAACCGATTTCACCTCATATTTACCATTATATTAATAAGTTTAACCATAATAAAAAACTCTTTCTCACAATACTCCAATTCATAAAAAATTTTCCTTTTTGATAATGACATAAATAGTAGATGGTAAACAGTTAACAAGAACCTTTCACTGGGAGAGAAATACATTTTTGCTTACTGCAAGGTGCAAGGGATCAATTAACTCTTCATAGAAATATAGATACTTAAGGGAGAGCCAAAAATCTCTTTGAACAAACCCTTTGCTTTATCAAATAATATTTATATAAACAATCTTCAAATCAAAAAACCTATTTACTCATATTCATACACTTATCCTTTTCAAAACATATTATATACTTCTTTTTTTTCTCAAATATCTATACATATATTAAGAGACAGAATTTATTTTTCAAAGTTTTTGTTTTTTGCTAATGATAACTAATGTCAAATTATACACAATCTTTTGACTAGTTTTCAGTTCTTGCTCATTTTTCATCTATAAAACCAAATCCAGCTTACTCCTATCAAAAAATCAATACCTACAATATATCAATAATACTTTATATTATAATATCAAAAAAAAAAACATCAAAACAACTATATATATCATTAAAATTATCACAAATTACAAATATAGCTAGATTGCATAACCAAAACTCTTTCCCGTTCACATCACTTTTCTTAAAAACTTCCTTATAAGGAAACTTTTGAAAAAAGTCAACGAGAAGTTGAGTTTTCTTTAACAAAAACCATCAAAACATGACAA